GTTCCCACCACGGGTATAGAAAGCCGGTTCTTAGCGTTGTAAGTCCGCAGACTACTGCTGCGCCAATGGGAGCACACATATATATACAGAAAAATCAACATTATACTATAAGTTTCAGATGAAATATTTGCCTTATTACCAGGAAAAGTAAAATAAAATAACAACAATAACAATAATGGCGTTTTAGAACCACGATACGCCACCGAAGGATATTTTTATGAATTAGCAAGAGCTGAGGAGAATATATAAAGCTAGAGAAATGTAACTGCAATTGTTCCAGATAATTTTCATGCTCCCCCCCCCTAGAAAATTAAACAATTGAAAAGTAGATGATGAAAATTAATATTCGGGGGGGAGGGGGTAAGAAAAATCAAATTATAATTTAAAATATCTACTTTCAAATCGAATATGAATTTTTCCAAACTTTAAGCAACACAGTTTGCAAGAAACTGCAAAGATGTGAATAAAATATGCATTTAAAATCTAAACAGTTATAAAACATTACAGTACATGAATTTCTAATATAATATCTGATGATCCTACAGCAACACCAATTAGACACCAATGTTGCGTACTTAAAACTACAGTGTTGAGAAGGTCATGAAATATCCTCCATCAACCCTCTGAAAAAGCAGTTTCCAGGACACATTTAGTGTCTGGGGTCACTTGACAGGATACGACGCGTCCACCAAGACAATCTTATATACGATCAATAGGGTTGAAGTCGGTAAATGGAGAGACCACTCCTTTTAGTTAGTTCTCTCTTCTTAAAGGAACGTGTCGCCAGTTTAACACACGCAGTAATATAACGTGGGCCACATAATATGTGGCATTAATTAATGACATATTATTATTCCACAAGATGTAGATTCAGTGCGTCTATCAATGTTTATTCTTATCGCCCCCATACTTCAATCACTACTATATTTATTGTGTTATTGTATGAAAATATGGTAGACTTTTGCTACATATACTATCCAAATGAATATACACCTTTTATATTGCAGTCGAATGTCATTTATATGTCATTTCCATGTCAGATCATGTCTTGGTTGTCTGACTCTGTTGTGGATGTTGGTCTGTCTGGCCCAGATGTTGGATTAGTTGGAAACGGTTCAACATCATACCATGACAGTTTGAAACATCTGAGAAATTTCCAGATGTCATATATGAGATTTAGTTATTGTTTGTGTACAGGTTAGAGCACATTAAACTCTGTGACTCCTCTTCAAGCGGCAATTGTGAAAGATTTGTGAGACCACCATATATATATACATACATACATACATACATATAACATAAGCTGAATGACAGATCAGTTATTTCTATTTCAGATCACAATGGCTGATCATTAGATGCATAAATTACATAACAATGAAGCGAGTATTGTAATTGACATAATTTGTAAGTGGTTTCTTGCCTTGTTATAATATTGCAAATTTCTGTTATCCTTTATTTGTATACTAATACATGCAAATAATACAAGAAACAAATTTGATAGGAGAGTATTACAATTATAATAGCAAGCTTTTATTGTAAATAAATAGAAAAGCTATCACAAATTGAAGGATTGGTCATACTTATAAAAAATACTAGAAAATTCAGTCTGTCAACTGATCAGATACTCTTAATTTTACCCCAACAGTTGACAGACACAAGCAGCAGTACAACTCATGTAAAATCTCAACAACAAGATAATAATTTTCGCATAGTTTTACACGAAACATTTCAGACATATATATATAGTGCAACTTCAGCGTTAGAGTCAGCATCAAAGCATACTTAGGAATATCATAAATGAAGCCATTTACGATTAATTTATTGGTATACAAGCCACTAGGTTTAAGCTACACAAAACTGTCTACAGTACGTTCGCTAGAAAAAAAAATCTAATAAATTAAGGTATGACAAGGTGTAGCACTAAATGGTTGTGGAGAATGTACCGCGCATGGCCTAGTACTTAGCGTGCCTGGACAGTGAATCCGAGAGTTCGCGTCCCGTTACCGCAAAAACTCCGTGGGTGACCTAAAGGAATGATCAAATCTCACTATTCGGTAAGACAAAGAACAACCTAAGTGTTGGCAGAGGGCGCTGTTGATTAACTGCCTTCCCTCTCGTCTATCAGTTCAAAATTAAAGATAGCCTCTACGCGAAAACTCTACAAAGAAACAGCCAAAGCTGCCAATAAAATATTAATTAAATTATGTAAAGAAGTATGAAATACTAAGATTGTTTTCTTCACTTATTACATAGTTTACGCCTTTTATCTTCAAACTATTATTTTTTTCAGAAATGAAATATCACATTAAAATAAATGTTAATGTTTGTACTAGGCATAATATGGGAAACCTAATTGCATTGGCAAACTTATTGAGATTCAACAACAATCTTTAAAGATATGACTGAGAAGTATTTAATAAAATAAAAAACTTAAACTAATGGTAATTCACAACAGAGGACAGTAAGACTATTTCTAACTCTTTGTTTAAAAATTATTAGTACCAAGAAAAACACACATTACGAAGTAAAATACTAAATAAAGCCACCGTCTGTTTGTCTTTGTCATCAGTTTGTCATTTATTTATTTTCCTTTGCTTTTGCTACCGTTTAAACACCGAATGCCAACGAAATATTGGAAAACCAATAGGCCTAAAAGTTGTTATAAAAAGAAAATAACAGTAGATGTTGTTGTTTTTCTCCACATTCCTGTTAATTTGTCCATTGTGGCTCGAAATCAGAGTGTCTCAAAATAGCATTTCATGGAATCTTGTTTCCCTCATCATTTAGCCATTCTTTTGTTGTTCGTACGTCTTGTTGTCAGTTATCGATGTGTATGTGTATCTACCTGTTTACTTATTTACCCAATAACCCAACTAACAATACACCTTCCAAAACAAATATAAAAGTACTAGAGATACTTGAATGAAGTATAAACGGTATCGTATTAACATGTTAACTCAGCGGACTTCACATTTTTCTTAAACATTAATACCTTTTTTTGTTTGGCTGTTTTTTAAGTTAGCCTTAGAACAAAATTTAAGTGAGAAAAAAACCGTGTATAACTGGTAATAGCTTCATAACATACCAAACCATTTCAAGTCTTCAAAGAGTTGGGTACAATTTCATATAAATTAAAGAAAAATTAGTGTTACGTCTATAAGTATCACAAATATGATCTGAATTATACGGCAGCGATTCACAAAGTGTGGGCGTGCCCCCAAAGGGAAAATGATCTCTTGGGGGGTACGAGTGATTAAGGTAGATGCAATAATGCAAAAGTAAGGGTTTTACTATATTTTTATTGATTAAAATAAGTAATTACTACAACACATATAGCATTTTAATATGTACCCGTGTACTACATCTCGTCGTTTAACTCATCTTTCACTCCTTAAAAAAAACAGGAGGGTGTGTGCAAGAAACCATAAATGTTAGAGGGGCCGTGGATGACAAACACTTAGAAAACGCTGCTGTTTGGCATTCATGAAAATCTTAAGGTTGTTTACAAAATGCCTGTTTTTAGTTTTTGTCCCAATTTCTTAAGATAAATGTTGCGGCTTGTTATTAAATGTAATGTCCAACGAGCAGTGCACACATCTGAATTATTGTAGTGTGATTTGATAGCATGTAAATTGCAATCAACAAATTTTAAAAAAAGTAAGCGTGAATATACGGAAGACGGTGTAAAAAAAATGTTGTAAGTGTAACTGGAAAATGTGAGTACATTTTTTTGCTTTTGTATCGCACATCAAAAGAATTTTCTTCCCCTTTACAATATAATCTCCAGCGCACCTTTTTTGTTCTTTATTTCCGGACAACAGAAACGCGATATACCAGCTATTGATAATGTTATCGTTACCAAGTTACGGAAGCAAGACTGGATCCGGGAAACACATCTCTACTCATTTTATTCCTAGTTGTCAGGCCCTTTCAACTTTCAAAAGTTGAGAACTACTTTTACCTGCACTGAACGGGTCTGTTTCTTGCCCTAAACTGCATCGCACGAACCTAAGTACCACCTACTTAGTCCGGACACATTTTACTGACTAATTTAGTAATAAAGTATTTAAACCTGGCACGTTTTCCTAGTTTTAGCCTATTAATTACTAGGTTAATTCTAACGTTTTACCTTGTATATCATCTACTTAGTTCGGACACGTTTTCCTGGTTTTAACCTATGTATCACCTATTTAATCCTGACATGTTGTCCTGGTTTTAACCTATGTATCACCTACTTAATCCTCATATTTTTTCCTGGTTTTAACCTATGTATCACCTGTTTGACCCGGACACATTTTCCTGGTTTCTTTTTGAGAATTTTAATTTGCAATTAGGACATCTACACAAGAAAATAATCCAAGAACAAATATTTGATTCCTCGTTTTCTGCAAATAACAAATAAGCAATTTATTAAATGTAACTTATCACAGCTGTTAAGCTTGTCATCGTGTATAATTTTCTAATAAAATTTTTTACTTATTAGTCAGACATCATATAGTTGTAGTTATAATTCAACAAAAGTTTTAGAGTAAAAAATAAAACGAATTATAAATCAAGAGTACATTTGATATTGCATAGAATTTATGATGGTTTTCTAAAATTCCTGTTTTAAATTGAACAGTGCTAAATACATTTACATTTTTGTGGCAAAAAAAAGAGAATATTTAGGCTTTTCTATTGTATACACTGAATTTAATACAAAATATTACTTTCTTTAAAATGTATGAGCCAACATATACACACAGTGTCAAATACATAAGTCGCAAGAGCATCGAACACATTGAAAGTACAGGGCGTTGTCAGGTTGAATAACGGGAAACAGGACGCGGTACAGCGAGACGGGGGATGACGGCTAGGCTATGATACCGCATTTGTGAGATTCTTTAAGTCAATAAAACGTTTAAAATTGTTCTTCTCTTGTGTCAACACACAAACAGAATGGGAGTGAAGTTAAATGCCACTTATAGATGCTTACAGCTTATTAAAATGATTGTACTTACCTTAATTATTGTAGCAATGCAACAGCAGACTGAAATAAGAAGCTTTCGGCACAAGTTTCCGCCATGTTCTGAGACAAACAGCAGCTGGTAGAACCAAACTTGTGCTAATGATGAGGCATGAAACTAGTGCGCATGAACGGTGCATGACTACGAGTAGGAGGCGGACGAGAAAAAAATTCCTTTGCACAAGTGACATCGCCCTGTGTGATAGGGGCGACAAACCTTTTAATGAAATTTAAGTGGCTGACTCTCAGGACTATGGTCTGAAAAACTGACTCGTAATTAAATTAACACACACACATAAACCTGTGAAAAATGAAATAACTATAAATAAACTCCTCCTGTAACTGAACACTAACTTAAAAGTAACGGCCTAAACTGATGTATTTTGGCTGAGGTACACCAACTTTTAAATCAGTTTGAGAGTAAGTAAAAAATAAGCCAATATGATTTTTACACATGCCCCTGTTAACCAACTAAATGGCAGTAGATTCCGAGCCTTGGAAGCTTCTTTTAGAATCCTAGTCGTTGTTACTTTGTGATAGTATGTAGTAGTACACAGTGCATACTAGTACATGTATTTGAGAAGTACTTTTGAATCTCATATCTCGATTACTTGGGCGTTATTTGCTATGGGGCAAGAGGGACAGTTGCCTCTCCAGATTTGCATGATATAATACAACCACATTAAGATGATCAAAGTTTTCTTCACAAACTAACAAATAAATACAGTTTATCAAGTACTATTTCATTCCGATTTAATCCGGAAATGTAGTGGGTTGTTTTGTAATGTAATCGCACACCCTCAGAGCCAGAGTTATACCACTTTTGTAACACCACACTCTATTAACCATTTGGCAACATTTGTTCAAAATAATATTACTTGAATGAATTATCAATTTGTTTTTCTACGATTCTCAATGAAACACCAGTTTATTAGACCACGCTTTGTAAAGGTCTTCAGGTTACATTACGTATACGTCAACTTATCTGAATTCCCTGCTTTGTGCAACTTCTCAAAGCATTGATCACATTGTTCATAATGCGGTCATTAGGAATGCAATAATTGCTTACTTTCTCTCATTCATTATGTTATTTGGAACAAAGAACGTTCTATATCTTGACACAACTTACCCCGCCCCTCCCCCCAGAATTTTTCGAAAGTGACGCACCTGCTTTATTTTCCTTTAAAAAGTTGGCTTATTAACAATAAATTATAAAGTTTTACTGTACAAGTAGCATTATAGTTTAGACAATACCTGATGAAACTTCTACCAGAAAAAAATATAGTGTGAGTATCGAAGTAAATTTAATATGCTGAGTAAAGCACATGAATGTTCCAAAATGGCAAGGCTGTTTAGATTCAAATTTCATCTAAGTGAGAATAGAAAAATGTAATCGAAGAAAACACTAGTTGTTTATTGTTGAGGGCTGGGAATTCCACAGCAAATACAAGAAAACTGATAACTAATTGGCCAGATCAGTTTATAATTATTGAATTATTTAACATGCAATCTATAAATATTATTTTTCCAGTCTGTTTTTTTATGTTTCGGTGTTTCCTATTCTTACAGGAATTTTCTCGAAATAAACGATTCGATTCCGCTAGAGAGAGAAACAAATACTGTAACAAACAATACAGCCGCGACTTATCACTAAAATAACTTGTATCAGCTTATACAGCGAGCGTTATAACAACTCGTGCAAGGTTACCACTTTTTGTTAAACACTGTCAGTTTAAACTCCAGCGTTCGTATGTCTACTGAGACGCTTTAATTTTTATTTCTTTTGTATTATTTGTCAAGGCGAAAGTGTCCGTCCGACGCTAATTTGTCACACTTAGTAATAACTCGATGTTTTTTGGATTTGTCCTTGTAATATCCAAACGTTACTCGGTCTGGAGTCATAATGATGTAATACAGGGCATCATAATGTAAGTATAAAACATGTCTCCGTATAGTTTTGTTTATTTCAATGAAATGCCACATTTATGAATAATAATCTTCTTCAATTTAGATTAGAACAGTGCAGTTTTCTAAAGAACATCGCAATTTTTTTTTTCTTGAGATGGGAATGTGATGGTTGGAGAATTGAGCCTGGCATGGCCTGATGGTTAAGGCACTCGACTCGATATCTGCGGGATCGAATCACGTCACCAAATATACTCGCCCTTTCAACGATGGGGGAAGTATATCGTGACAGTCAATCGGACTATTCGTTTGTAGAATAGCCCAAGAGTTAGCGGTGGGTGGTGTTGACTACTTGCCTTCCCTCTAGTCTATCACTTGAAAATTAAGAATGGCTAGTGGAGATAGCCTTCAAGTATCTTTATGCGGAATTCAAAAACAAGCAAACTTAGTGAAGCAATACTATGCAACAATCTATATAAAAAGTTTTAACATTGTCAAAAGAGGGCGCCACATAGCAAAATCTCTTAGAGGGCCTCAGCTTATATAACTTAAGTGATTTGATCTATATAGAATTATAAAATCTGGTATAAAGTGGGGTGCAAAAGAAAGTTTTAATAAAGCTCCGTGTCAGAAATCCTTAAATGGCTCTATTTCACTCAAACCTTAAACCTTAGGCTAGATAAAGCAAAAGACATGTAACGAACACAAAAAATAGCAAATCAGGGGTGAAACTAAATATGCGATTGACCAAATACACAACATTGTATACACTTTTGTGCTGTTGAAATGAAATAAAACTTAAACAGAAAAAAACATATTTATATTGTGTTTAAGACTATTACAGTATAATATTACGTAAAAGATTCTAAAATATTTTATAGTTTATTTACTTTTAAAAGAAGGTAAAAATGACAAAATATTTAATCCGTCTACCAATAGCAAATCGATAAAATGATTGCTTTTACAATTAGAAATTTCTCATGTCTACTTGTAGAGATTAACGTATGATGTGAAAAACTGATGGTAAAAATGTGTTTATTACCCGAACGATCACTACAAACTATAATATAACGAGAAAACAGTTTGTTGATGCGCCAGTTCTCTTGAATGATAGTAAAGTTAATTCAAATGAAATAATAATAATAATAAATATTCGGTTTTTAAAATAAATAACTATTATTGTGTTACTAATACTTACCCTAATTCTGATTTGTCAATGACTCAAAACAAGATTGGTTATAATTAGAATTTACTTACTTAATCTCGTTCACACCATAACCGTTGTTATTCGTGAAACTGTTAATATAAATAGCCTCTAGACCACTACCATATCTATTGTGTCCAATCCTTCCTGCTATTTGATTAAAGGTGTTGTTGGTATTGGATATAGCCACTGAGGTGTTATTCTTTGCTTTCACTCATACTATATAATAATAATCCCTGTCGACTCCCATTGGAGCATAGGGCTCCAACAACACCTCGCCGACGGAAGTTGTTGCAGTAATTTTTAGCAGGTTGGTTTTTACGGGGCGGAGATGCTAGCCCCGCGCCCAACCCTCCTCCTTTCTCATCCTGGACTTGGGACCAGGCAATGGTGGTGGCATCCCTCCCGGAAAACGAACCCGGTACCTTTGGATTAGAAATCCAACGCGCTATCTACTGCGCTATAGGAACACTTTAGAAATGCTCCTTTAATTCAAATAAGTCACGTAGATGTTTCAAAAATACAGCTATTTACTTATTGCTCTATATTTTATCGATTTTAGAAAAACTCTTTATTTTGTATGTTTTACTGAGGTACATGGTTTAAAATTCGATAAGAACGTTTCTTGTCCTGCGCATGTCATTGAATTCCTTTACTTAACTCTAAGCTGTTTTAAGCCCCGAAGTAGAACATAAACATTTATCTGAGTTTCTTTCTGTAAAATATTTGGAGTTTGCTACTAACGACACCTCTTGCTATTTACAAATCAAATAAATTATTAGATCAGTGTTGAAGACTTGAAATATAGTTTCTACGTGTATTTTGTTTTTTCTTATATCATCATTAGAGACTGGAAGAATGCCAGACCCTTTGAAGCTATAAAGTTATCATTCATCTGTTAGCAATAATTTGACCAACTTTACAGAGATGTTTGGTAACGTAGAATAATGCATCCAGTATCTTATGAACTAGCACGTTTGTTAGTACAACAGTTTAAATGGTGTAGTTCAATCCATTCATTTGAAACGTTAACAGAAGCTTCGGGTGAGAACAGCTTTACTATAAAAAACACATTTTTTGATACGAACACTGAAGCCGGTGCGTAAACAATCCGGTTCTGCTTTGATCTTTTAAGCGTTTCGTACGGGCCTAAATGTTCAACAACAAAACTTAGCTAGTTTAATATTTTACCAAAGATAGTAACACATCAAGTTTAATGTTTTACACTATTATTGTAACAACACTTCACGTACTAGAAGCATCATATGGTATCAATAATGAAATGTGGAATAATAATCAAGAAGAACATACAAAGGAAATGATAGAAACAAAGATATGTTGGCATTACCAATTTGATTCATTGTATTAATAAGACGTTTCTATCACATAAAGATCTACATCATTGGTTTACATTTTTTATTTTGACATACACGTTTGTTTTGCAAATTGGAAGTGTTGATTTAAAACTTAATATAACCTCTTGTTTCCTCTTGTTTTGTTCACAAATTGAGCTTAATAATAATACACTATTTTTGCAAGATGTGACTATAAAGAATTTTTTCAGTATTGGAATATAGTATGTAATTTCAGAGATACGAGAAATCGTCTGAGATATAAGATAGTCAACTTCTGAATTAAATTGTTCTATGATAGCGGTTTTATAGCAATCGTCAGAAAATGTTTTAGTACATTTCATACTGGTCACCACAAGGTATGTGCGTGTCAAACTGCAGCATATATTTTTATGGCCAGATTTTCCAAGTGCAATGCATTTCGCACTAAACATTTCGCTTCTAGCACAAAGAAGTTTAATGCACGATTTATGTTTTGTTTAGAATTCATAAGTTATTTTATAGGAGAGGAAATGTCTCGTTGGATTTTTTTTTCTTTCCGTTCATTAATGATTTTATTCTTCACAAGGAGCATGTTTTTTGTTGTTGTTTTTTTCTGTTTGCTTGTTGGTTTAAGATATCTTGCA